AAATAAAGTATATTTATAATGCAATGCCTTTATCACTGCTTAAATACTATGAAATATGTTGCGTGCCTTATTCTGTGTAAGAAGCCACATCATCTCACAGAAGGATTTATTTCAAACACTCGACTGACGTTATGAAGTGAGTTTGGAGTAAAAATATGTTATTAAATGTGGTATTTTCACATGCTTTCAGATGGAGCAGCATTTACTTCACAGAGCCGTAGTTCACTGAGAAGCTATGCAAACAGCTGTCATTATCGCAAACGATTTCTTCGATTTCATAATCGCGCAATAAAATCGTCTGTGATTTTTTTTGTGTAACTTGTCAGTGAACTACGGCTATATTTAGTAAATGCTGCTCCATCTGAAAGCACGTGATGATGATTTACTGCTGATTACAGAACCGGCATTACTATCAAAATGAGCATGACAATCGCATTCGATTAATCGTGCAGCCCTAGTCACATGATCCTTCAGAAATCATTCTGATATGCTGATTTGGTGCTCAAAAAATTTCTTATTATAATCAATGTTGAAAATGGTTGTTCTGCTTCATATTTTTGTAGAAACTTACATTTTGTTTCAGGATTGTTTGATAATTGGAAATGCATTTATTTATTTGAATCTTTTATTTAAAATTTTTGTAACACAGGGCTCCAGACTGCGCCTAAAACGGTCACATTTGTAACCAAAAATATTAATTTGCAAGTGATATTTTTGCTGAGATCGCCACTGACGACTATAAATTTACATGTGATGACTTAAAAATGTGCATGTAATGCCTTTTTTCCTGCTTGTTTTGCGATCACATCTTTTATGTTGACGTAATAAACTGAGACGATGCGCTTCAAAGTTTTAATGGAAAAAAGACTTTCAAACAGTCCTCATCTCTGCCGAACAACAGCACTGATGGCACTCTTGCTGAAAGCAGCTCCAGTTGTGGCAGCAGGAGAGAGATCGAAAATTATGGAGACGTGCAAATTAAGTGCAGAAAAGCAGTGTCTATTTTGTGCACAACTTGAACATACTACAACAGCTGTGTGGACATTAACAGTATCGTTAACAATTCTCATTTAGAATCGATACTAATATGGCTTTGTCTGATCAAGATCTTTGGTCTACATGCTGTGTTCTGTTGCGTGAACTTCATATTATTTGTAGCACATCTGCCGTCCAGTAATCACAACAAGCTTTGTGCTCTGTTACCTTTTAATAAACAAAGTATCAACTTTAAAATAATCAAACAATAAATACCCTTTTGGCGCTCTTTAATGGCATGAGCAATCGCACCTCAGGTCAAGCTGCACGTGAACCCATCATATCTTTCTCTTTACTACTATAGTACAAAATAATCATGAATGGACACCAAAGGGTATATTATAGATACAGTACAACTTACTGAAATGTCTCATGTAATCACTCATTCAGTGTTTCAAACTGTGGAAGACGTCTTAAGCTTGTAAATAATGCCACGTAACAATATTTACCTCAGAATAACCATTCGGCGTGCATATGCTCATCAGTCAGCTCGAAAAAATACCTATAAAGAGGAGCATTTTGCTAAATATATGCACTATATTGCATATTCATTACTTAACCTGTTGTCTACACGATAAGAAAGAATGCAAGGAGCTAAAGATAAAATTCAACACCACCTATATAATTGCATGTTACTAATGAAGAAAAACAGACTGGACGTGTGCAAGACATATGACAACATTTATAGGATTTGAGGAGGAGCCCAAACTACACTCAATGGCTAAGTGATGCTGACATAGTTATGGTCCATGATATTGGCACAGATTCTGTGTAATAAAAAAAAAAAAAAAATTATTTGTGAGTGATATTCAGGAATAATATATTTAAAACAATTATTTATGTATAATCTGGATTAATTGTCCACTATTTGGCCATTTTGAGGTTGTCAAGATTAGCAGATAACAGTTTTAATAGCAATTTTTTATTTATGTATTTGTTTGTTTAAATTAACCAATTTGTGGACTAGTTATGGTCCATGATATTGGCACAGATTCTGTGTAATAAAAAAAACAAAACAATTATTTGTGAGTGATATTCAGGAATAATATATTTAAAAAAATTATTAATGTATAATCTGGATTAATTGTCCACTATTTGGCCATTTTGAGGTTGTCAAGATTAGCAGATAACAGTCTTAATAGCAATTTTTTATTTATGTATTTGTTTGTTTAAATTAACCAATTTGTGGACTTTTTTTCTTTTTATTTGTTTGACGTTACTTTTACAATGTGCAAACTATTGATTACTTCTATAAATCAGAATACTTATTAACATGAGGAAATTGTGTTGTTAAATGAAGAAATTCACAAATGTGTTGAATTCAGTGTTCAATCCTTTTCGTTCTCTTTGCATGTTGCTGGACAAAATAAGGCATTCTAGCAGACAAATGTTTTCCTTTGAAAACTGGACATACAACCTGCTGTTTTCATTGGTTTTGTTGTGTTTCACGTCATTCAGTATTTTGCTTTGGTGATTTTCAGCCTTGACGGTTGACGTCCCTTTATGGGAAAGTAATTTTCTCTGACCTTTTGCCTCAACAGTCACCGGTCCAAGTAGTTTGGCTTGACTTCTGCAATTCCGTTTTATTTTCGCTCCAATCCTTCTCATTCAGTAAAAGCATGTTTCCTATAAAAAGCCCTGGCACTTTACCTCACACTGCTTCATCCTGTTTGTATGCAAGTTTGTTTGGAGACAGCAGCATCAGGAGGAAGGTCAAGTTGAGGTGCAAACAACTCATTAATAATTTAAGGCAGCAAACATGACTGGTAGCTAATCTACATAGCTCCTAAAAAGTGCTACGATTATTAATTCAGGGCTTTTGAAGGCACTGTGGGAGCGTAGCATTCTTGATTGTATACAAGAGCACCGAACAAGCTCTGGCCATGCAGGCACTCAAGATGTTTGGTGAAAGACTCCAAAAACTTTGTGTTGCTGGAGATGTGGTTTGGTTTGTGGTCTGAATGAGGAAGAGAGAGTGCATGTGGCATTTTAAGTTATAGGTGAATACTTAGAGAATGAATCAGAATCAGAATCAGAATCAGAATTAGCTTTATTCGCCTGGTGTGCAAACACACAAGGAATTTGTTGTGGTTTTTTAAGGTGCTCCTGGTACATACATGCATACACATCTGACATGAGAACAGAAAAAAAAATGTAAATAGTAAAACTTAACAATAAATAATGTGCATGAATCTGGAACAGTAGATTTATGTACAGATTTGTGCATCATTTCCTCTATATAGAACTGTATAAATAAAGAGATATACATATGTGTTTACATAATACTTGAGAAAGAGGCAATAATTAAGGATGTAGAATGAATTACGGAAATGAATTACAGAACGCAGGTAATGATTCATATGTTAGCTGTTTAAGCTGGAAATGGCATGGGGGGAAAACTCTTTTTATGCCTAGATGTTCTAGTGCACAGAGATCTGTAGCGTCTGCCTGAGGGGAGAAGTGCAAACAGGTTGTGTCCGGGGTGAGAGGGGTCTTTGATGATGTTTCCTGCCCGTTTCTTCACTCTGGAGTTGTACAAGTCCTGAAGACTGGGCAGGTGCACACCAATGACAAATGACGTGCTATTGCAACAATCTCAGACCTATGTCCATCTATGAGCACTGCAAAGTAACAAGCTATCAAAGAGACTTTTAATTAGATGTTTTTCTCACTTGAGGCCCTATGCTTTACCACCAGATACACACTAACTAGCTGCTGTTATTTCCTGATCTGCATGGTATACATTTTTGAAACGGACTGAAGCTGATATTTAAGCAATTTATAAATTAGGAGACATTTTCTTGTCTCTTAAATGATTTAAAATGATGTATAGATCATTTAGATAAATTTATAGAAAATACATTTTATTTATTTATTATTTCAATTGAAGTGACAGGGCAACATATCAGCTGGGCGACAGTTTGATGATAAGAAATGTAAAGACTGAATATCTTTATTATTTATTGTTACTAAAGCAGTGTGTATTTGATATTTTGTGTATTGAGAATATTAGAATTTTAATTAAAAACCATAACTATTTCTTCTATAAATTCAAAGTTAATTGTTTGTAACAAAATTTGAAGGTTTAATTTTGTCAATTGTGCCCTGAAGAATCAGCCATATATTTCTTGTGAAATATCGGTGCTTAATAATGATCTTAAAACGTCATAGGTGTGTCTAATTGTTCTTCAGTGGATACAGTCAAGCCTTTTATTTTCAGAAAGACTCTTTACAGTGAAACATTGACATCTCTGAATGACTCAGTGAAGCATTTGTGTCCAGTTTTAACCAATGAATGCCATAAATCTGCCCTTTTAAATTTTCTCCTTGTTTTCATCACTCTTCTGCTCTGTTCCTTCACTTCTTCCTGGGAGAATTACAGATCATTTTTACAGATGTGAGGCTTGCAGGCAATTGCATGGAATAAACGGCAGTTCATAAACGTCATATTAACTATTAATGTGAATAATTAGAGTCTGCCTTGTGAACAGTGGCAAGCGGAAAAAATAAATAAGACGGAATACATTAGACATGACAGCATGATGTACAATAGACATTATCACTGTTGGTGATAATGACCCTCAGATATTTGGTGGAATGCTGTGCATTTAATGAGGTCTTGGTATGCAGAGCACTACACTAGGCTTCTGTAACAACTTTTGAAAGGGACTGCATTCACTTCTGTGTTTTTTAATGAAAGAAATATTTCAGTTTAAAAACAAGTTAAGCTCAACCGACAACTTTTGTGGCGTAATGTTGATTACCAGAAGTCATTTTGGCATGTTCCTTATTTATTCAAAAGTAAACATCAAGGTTACAGTGAGGCACTTAAAATGGAAGTGAATGAGGCCAATTTTT